CCATATCAGATACGTTGACCCTTGCTATTGGTTCAGGGATAGTTGTGGTGGTTGATTGGGAAATTATAGGAGTTGGTAAGGTGGTTGTAGGAATGGAAACAGAAGAAACTAGTGGTGGTGGTGGAAAAGAGGTTTCTGTTAGGGACGTGGTAACAACCGAAACTGGAACTTTCAGTGTCGGCGATGGAGGTTTCGGTTTTGGTGATGGAGGTGGGGTTAGAAGTTTGTGAGGGGGAGATTCGATTGGTGTAGGAGATCTAGGAGGAGTATTACCTCATGGAGATTCCGGAGGAACTTCATCTTCAGGATGAGCAGGACTTGGAGGAGTTTGATTTCTTGATCTATTCGCCATTTTCTTGATTTTCTTTGGCTTTGAGGAGGAGTCCTTTTCTGACTTTCGCTTCTTTAATTTGGAGGGCTTAGGTTGATCCTCCTCGGTTGTTTCCTTCTTCGTTGTCACCCTTTTTCCTCTGTTGCTTGGCTTGTCAACAACATTCAAGGCAACCTTTGGCACAGGAGAAAGAACTCTTGGCTCCTTAGGAGGAAGTTTTCTATATTCAGCCATCACCTGACTCTCGCTGTAACATCCCTATACATGGTCTCTGGAATTGAACCATAATGAAGAAACTTTGTTGGGTCAGAGATGATGATCTTCTTTGTATGAAAAGCTGCAATGGACGTGATGAGAGCATCCTTCATCACTGGAATTTCCAGAGTGTCTATGGCCTGCCGTGTAATGAGAGTCCAAAACCTTCCACAAGAAATTTCGGACGGACAAGTGGAAGTATTTATCCTCTGCACAACCTGAGACCATGTAATAGACCCATAGTCGAGGTTTATTCCATTGTACAGACCATAGAGAATGGTTAGAAATCCTTTACTAGTGCCATCTGATCCAAGACTTCGTTCTACCAAGCTATTGATAAGATGAGTTAGAAGACTGTTCCACTGAGATGGTAGACATGACTTCTTGACTTTGGCAATGGTGGTCAGCACATCCGTGTATCCCATTTCATACAGCATCAAGAAGATTTGTGTTGTTGTAATAAAGTCAGGTGAAATAATAGAAGAATCCACAATGAGATGTAGCAATGAGCAAAACCTCCCTTTTGAAATAGAGGCCTTCTTGGAGTGAATTTGAAAGTAAATTCGTTCCTTGTTTTTGTCATACGATGCGGAAGAGTAGACTTGAGACAGTAGAGATATCGGAATAACTTTGAATTGGGTTAGGGAAATAACCAATGCAGAGTACTTCAAACATTCGACAACTTGTAACATGTAGGAATCATATAAAATGAATTCAGTTCTATAATCATATTTTGGTTTTGCTTGATGGTAAGAAGGGCCGATGAAGTATTCTGATCGTGTGCAGAAGAAGAAGTCGCCATAGTTGATCGAGGGAAAAAGATGGACAGTTGAAAGCGTCGTTACAGTTTAGAAATTTTGATGCTGATAGAAGACAAAGAATCGTGGAAACCCTTTATATACCGTTTCCAGGAGAGAGAAAAATTGTGACAATTGTGACATGATCACTAAAATGTAGCCTGAAAAAGCATGATTTGACAGGTTGGGTGTTCCTAGGTAGGCGGCAACATGCGTGCATATAGGGACCGTTCAAATTCATGCGCCCAAAAAGATTTCGTCAATCAGCATTTAAAATAAAACTTGCCATACGAACCTAAATTTCCCTTGATTCACTAGAGGACAAATAAACTCAAACATACCATCAGAATGTGGGAAAATTAAAAAATTCCGTGCGTTAGAGTGATTAAAGATAAAGTAATAAAGCAAATACGTATGGGATGTGAGTGATTTCTGATTATCAGACAAAAAACAGGGGATTTCGGGCAAGAATTGCTTCCTTCAAAGTCAAGAATGACTTGAAGTGCTTGTGTGGTATCCCTAGAATATGATCAAGTGTTTATGAATAAACATTGAAAGGCTTCTTTTCATGACATAGGCTTAAGGTGGCGTATCTTCAACCGAACATCGACTCTTAAAATAAGACCAAGTGTTGGAAGAAGTACTTGTGAGAACGATGTGGTCTGTTGAAAAAGTAGGTAGGTTATATTTTGTGATAACAAAAGAGTATATAGAAATCTCAAAAAAAATTAAATTGTATCTTTATTGGAAGAATAGTATTGGTTTTAGACGAACTCATAAAAGACCTCGCAAAGAAAAGAGATTTCAGTAGGTAACAAGTAAGATCTTGAATATAGAAATTCACCGTCAATTCATTATGGGTGTTGTATTTTGTGTTTCACTCAGCACGTGGTATTCATATCTAAGATCATAAACACAGATTAGATGAAACCATAAACCTCGGTGGTAAGAACCGAGATTCTCAAGGATTACAATTGTGAACTGAGAGTTGATGGAGAATGGTTTGAGGATGGTGAAAGAACCAAAAGTACCTTCTGCTATAAAACAAGACAAAGTAGAGAAACTCTTAACTCATGTGAGAAGAGTAAGGTAGCTCTAGACAGAGTAAATAAGAACAGCCTGATTGGGAAAAAACGATAGGTATTGATCGAATCATTAAGGCCTTGCTCTAGGTCGTAGAGGCTTAGGTCAACATGTATCAGCATGCTTCTAGGAACCCTTAACTAGTTCATAAAATAAGCATCATACCTGTCCCAACTCCAAATTCTGTTATACTTGTACCCTTGTGACTAAATAGAGGCAAGAACAAACAAATATACCACACAAACAAAACTAAAAATATTTTCGAGGGATTAAATATTCTGAAAAATAATAAAAACAGAAAGAGAAAATATTTTTGGATTTTTGAGGTTTTCTGGAAAAGAATAAAAATAGAAAGAGAAAATATTTTTGGATTTTTGAAGTTTTCTGAAAAAGAATAAAAAGTGAAAGAGAAAATATTTTTGGATTTTTTTTGAAGGTTTCTGAAAAAGAATAAAAACAGAAAGAGAAAAAATTTAAATAAGCATAAACCATATTAAAGATGAGAAAAGAAACGTACACAGTTTACAACCGAAACCTTATCTCAGTTGAGTGAAGCAAAATAGACCAAGCGGTCGGTTCATTTCGGTTCCCAAAATTTAAGGAGCCGAAATAGACCGAGCATTGGCTCCATTTTGCTTGCCTAATTTTTAGTGAGAGAATTGAGGATATGGTACCGACTCTGCTTCCATCATGCCCAAACCTTGTAGTATTTTGTTAAAGAGTGCTTCAAGTAATGCCTTAGTGAATATGTCAGCCAGTTGATCACTAGATCGAACAAAATGTACTTCCACGTTCCCATCTTCTACATGATCCTTAATGAAGTGATATCTAAGTGCAATGTGCTTAGTTTTTGAGTGTTGCACCGGATTGTGACAAATCCTTATCGCACTTTCTGAGTCACAATAGAGAGGTATCTTCTTCATACTTAGCCCGTAATCTGTTAGTTGACTTTGAATCCAGATTACTTGAGAAGTGCAAGATGTTGCAGCAACATACTCAACTTCGGCTGTGGACAATGATACACAAGTTTGCTTCTTGGACTGCTAGCTAACAAGTTTTCCATCAAGAAATTGGCATCCACCTGTAGTGCTCTTTCTGTCCAGTCCACATATCTCGGTGTACCAGGATATGATCATCTTAAGCTCCTTCTTATCACCTTCGTTGTTTTTCTTGCAATGATTCATACGAACAATTAAGTTCGTATATTGAGATGTCGAATACCTATCCACTTTGCATGCCTGGAATAAAAAACGCTTTGCTTTTTCAGCTTTGTCCTTTCCTTCGAAGACCATCGCAAAAGGCTTCAAATAAATCTCTCCATCTGCATACTTCTTAAGGTCATTTTGTATCTTCTTAGGTGCCATTGGAGCTTTTATTTCCATACCCTTAGCAGTTGCTAATTCAACATCAGTCAGTATCAAGAACTCATAATAATTTTCAATGAAAAACTTGATGTGAGCAACCCCAAGCTTGAATTCATCACGGTCAGTATTTTGAAGATACGAAAATGATTTATCTTTTAGAATCAACGCAACTTGTATAAGATCATACAAGTTCATTAATGGAAAATTTGCAATGGTAAAATCACAAATATTTTTGTTTACCTTGGCCACCACATACTTAATGTTTTGGACTGCATTTTCAAAAACCACATCCTTATTTATACTTATCACCTTTTAAATCTTCACCAAAGACCAGACTTCCTCAACAAATTTGGCATGAACAGCATGAAATCGAATCTTCATCTGTGTACCTTCATTTTTGTCTTTGCAATTTCCTTCTGCTTTGAATTGAGGCATGATAAAAATCATCTCATTCATTGGAATGTCTAGTTGGCTTGCATCAATATTCGTAACAATGTAGCTCTGCTTTGGTTTCTTTTCAAACGAATACATATCATTCAAACCTAGTAGATCACTTGCTCGTTGAGTCATGATGCTTTGTACTAATATCAAATTTTCTATTTCGGCTTCAACCTCAGCCTTCTTTTCCTCCTTTGATTTTTCCACCATAATTGTTTTTCCTTTGTCTTTCAAATCATCATCTGTTACAATGAGATTCTTACTGCTCCCACTAGCAGATTCACCAATGACCACTCCTTTTGTAATAGGTCTTGAAATTGGCATTGTTGTGACCACTGTCGAAGTAACTGACTTAGCAGAAGATAAAATAGGTTTTATTGTTGGGATCTTTGTAGCAAACACCTTTCTCACAACTTTTTCATCTACATCAGTAGCCTTCGCATCACCAACCTTTCTTTCCCCCCCTTGCACCCCTATGAAAATAGGCGGGGCATCTGTGGTTGGTAAAAATCTTGATATCCTAGAAAGAGGGGCCAGTTGCTTGTGTAGAATGGATTCGAATTGAGTGAATTTTTTAGAAAAAAATTTAGGAGTGATCAAAGAAGACGAAACTAGCTTAATAGATAACTCTTTGAGCTCCTTCAACAGATTGATGACGTCCAGAAAATTTTTATTTTCCATTGTAGAAAGTTGAGTATGTTGAGGACTCATACCTTCGTACAATTTAACAAATCATGTAAGAGCATCACAAATGATATTAACCTTTTGGTTTAGAGACACATAATCCTGTTGAACTGAAACAATCTCTCTATGCGTATCTTCACGAAGCTCACGGATTTGCAAATTGATATCTTCTCTGACTTTCTTAACATCTTGAACAAGTAAAATATGTCTTTCCTTCACCATTTGATTCAAAGTCTTTACTTCACCCAAAAATGTTGAACTTTGAGAATTCACCCGTAGCTCATTGTTTTGATCATGATGATCAATCTTCTCCGAAATACGTGATTTTGAATCTCTAACCATCCCGAGAACTTTACTCACCACCTCTGCTTCAATCATTTTCAGCATCGCATCAACTTCTAAACTTGAAACAGATGAACCACCCCCAAATCAGCTTGAGATTGAAGTATTGAATTTAACGTCGTATTCAAAAGTTTGAACTGTTTCATTATATCATGAAACTCCAAATCCTCAAAGGTTCCTCCAAAACCCTCATTATCCGTCTCAGTTTCCATGAAATTTGAATCTTTTGCAGGAGAATTGGTTTTGGATGGATCAGTGGATTGAGAAGAGAAAATGGAAGCAATAGGTTGATTGAGAATGTTTTCAAATATGGGTGAGTCTGTGGTTGAAGTGGTTGGTGTGATTTTTGGAGGTAAGGAAACAACAGGATCAGGATTACCTTGAACTTCTTTCTTCGCATCTTCTTCACCCATGGTGACATGTACATCCGTATGTGATACGTTTGCATTGATGTCTGAAGTTCATGCCTCCTCATGAAATGACTTGGCAGACGAATCTTCGGGCAGTATAACGATTGTTTGCTCTAAAGTTGAACTTTCCTTGCGAAGATTGGCTTCTAGTGTTTCAGGAATTCATTCATGTTCATCTTATGTAGATCCAGTTGTAATAATGAGCTTACATATTTTCTCTTCTCCCTTTCAGAAAATTTTTTTTCCATATCCTCAGCTAATCTTTTCTTGGATAATGGAAAACTAGAGCTGGTACAGCACGGAAAACAACCCCCTGATGAGTAAGATGTGGCTTTCGTACGACATTAAGTGTTGGAGTCCTTCATTTATGTTTAGATTTCATCTTTATCCTGCGAAATACACCAGTCTTCGAAGGAATAACAACTTTCTCTGGAGTTTCGTGAATAACAGGCTAGATTGGAGTAGTTTCTTCAACGGACACTTTTGTTAACACTGGCACCTAAACTTCAGCAGTCTTCTTCTTTGGAGATTTCTTTGGTTTGGTTTCAATAACAACTTGTTAAGAAGGACCAGACTCATTCTTCTTCGAAAGTTTGGATTCTTATCTTCCTTCGGCAACATAATCCTAGTTTGAACATTAGGATCAATATTCTTTAAGTACGCCACCAAAACTACATTTGAAGGATCAACACATCGTAACATGGCATCCTGAACACGAGCAACAAACGGAAACACTGTTGCATCATCTGTCATGTTCTTCGGATAATTATAAGTATAAAACTCAGCCTTCTCTTCATCAGCATTTACCAAAATTCCTTCCTTCTCATAAAAATTATAAGTATAAAACTCAGCCTTGAACAACATTCATGTTCTCCACACTCTTTTAGAATTCCTTCCAAAGTTGTGTTGAATACTTCACCGGGATATCATAGTATAGCCCTGCTACCATGGTGTATACCTCCATCTGACCCTTGTTAAGACCAACATTCTGACCTGTTAAACACCTCAAAAAGATTCCAATATGAAAGTTCCAGATACTAGGAAGACCCGATTTCTTGAAATCACTAATCTTGGTTAGTTGTGGTTGATGTCCCATCTCGTTGAACATATGAACGATTTGGGGAAATTGCAGATCAATGTAGGGTGGAGAATTTGCGATTTCCAGTATTGGACTAAAGAGTTTCTTGGCGAGTCTAACCTTTTTGTCATTTACAAGATTATGATAACCAGGAAACAGGAACAACAAAAGATCGGAACATGGCCTTGGATAACACGGAACTTGGTAAACCAACAACCAACATCTTGAGTTCTTCAGGATAAGTAGAAACATTAGCCTCTACTTGATAATTAGTTCCTTGAATCTTCGTGATCGGCAATGAAGTCACATCATCAGTGTTTTGAGAAGGAACATTGACATTACTAGAAGTTTCCATTGTTAGGGATCAAAAGCTTTGAATTTCAAAGAGTATTTGAGAATTTTTGTTTTTAATCGCGTAAACTGATAATTGACCCTTGAATCCCCTTTTATATGTAACCCTAAAGTTTGAATTTGAAGCGGGATATGCATTAAATGAATCCTACGTGGCACCTAGAAACTCGCTCCAGTAGCCCGAAAAAATAGCCACGCGTGAAAAACTAACTGTCAAGTCTCCTTAGTACCCGGACAGAATACCATACGTCACCGGAAAAACAGGTTGTATTGATTCCCCCAATAGAATAGAAACCGTCATCATCCATCGAATGGAAGTTAGGCACTTGCACTTTTGGGTTTGAAAGCGAAGTCATATGCCAAATGTTCGAAATCATTAGGCTGAGTCGGTATTACTCAGAACCTGAAGGATTTCGTGAGTGCAGTGTTGAAAAATAGATGAGAAGCAATAATAAGAAAATTTTGGAAGTCAGTGATGTCGATCAATTTTTCGACATAAAAGTAGTAAAAAAAACCCCGGGTAAAGGTTACTTCATTAATCATCAAGAAAGATGATCAACTGCTTGTGTACGTTCCTGTGAAATACAATCGAATACTTGTACAAAAGTATCAAAGGGCTTCTTTTATTAGTGTTCATGGGTATCTATAAGAATTTCATTACATATCAACCAAAACATAAGGTAAGAAATTGTAACAGAAATTACTTGTTTGACCAGTGTATTCAGTGACAAGTTTGCTTTGAAAATCTTTAAGTGGTTTCGAATTTCGAATGAAACTCACACGGAAATCATATTCATGAAAAAAAAATTGTGCTGGATCTTATTGGGTAACAAACATTGTAGGTTTCGAATATTTGATCAAGACCACTCATATGAAATGAATATGATTTAGAGTTTCAAATTTAAGGTACAGAAACAAATGGTTCGTTAAATCTGGAACAAAGTTCCCCATCAATTCCTTACAAGTTTTAGAAAAATTAGGTTTCACTTTCATCACGGTCTCATGAGGTCAGATCTTAAACACAGATTTTTGATATCTCTAAGTATCGATTGGTTTGATCAGAGACCTCTTGGACATATGACTTCGTGTGTGATCATGTAAGAACTTTCAGATGAAAAAGATTGGTGTAAGCGAAATGTACCTATGTTATATTAGGACAAAATAGTAAACTCTAAACTCTTGTAAGAAGAGTCATGTAGCTCAGAAGACTAATATGAATCCAAGCCTGATTAGGAAGAAATTTTCGTATGAAAATTTTCATTAAGGCTTTCGTACACACATATTGAGTCAATGGAGGCTTCGGTCATCATGCTGCAACATGCTTCTAGGGACAACTTAACTAGTTCAAGGTATTCAGAAATTTACCTAACCCTAGAATTGCAAGCATTCTTCAAGTAAAATCATCATTAATATCTGCAAAAAAGTAGTAAAAAGAAATAAGAAACAAAGTATTTTTGTTGTTTTTGATTTTTCAAAAATAAAAAGAAAAAATCTTTTTGGATTGTTAATTTTTTTTTTTAAAAAAATGACAAAACAAACGAAAATCTCTTTGGATTTTTGATTTTTCAAAAATTAAATGACAAAAAAAAAACGAAAATCTTTTTGGATTTTTGATTTTTCAAAAATTAAATGAAAAATAAAATGTATTTGTTGCAAACATACAAAAGTTTATCAACCCTTGAAAAATGACAAATCCACAAATACGAAGCATTCGAAGCGTTGACCATGAACAATAATCTCTGAATACTGAATGACATTGCATTAAATAGAATTTCCATCGATCATTCCAAGTCCTTCTAAAATTCTTACAAATGATTTTTCATATAAAGGTTTTGTGAAAATATCAGCTAACTGATAAGTTGTTTTCAGAAAATGAAATTCAATATTCCCATCCTCCACATGATGCTTGATGAAATGATAACGAAGAGCTATGTGTTTAGTCTTCGAATGTTGCATAGGATTATGACAAATTCTTAATGCATTATGCGAATCACAATATAATAAAATCTTTTTCATATTAATTGCATAATAACGCAATTGACTTTGGATCCATATAATTTGTGATGTGCAAGCAGCAACAACCACAAATTCACCTTCAGCAGTTGAAATTGATACACACGTTTGCCTTTTCAACTGCCAGCTCACCAATTTTCCATCAAGCAATTGGCATCCCCCACTTGTGCTCTTTCTATCAAGATTACAACCTCCCAACTGTTGGTTTATCTAACGAAGTAGTCACCCTTATGTCGGTTGCCATTGGAACTCGTAACTTCATGCTATTTGTCAATCCAAACTTTTCCAGCAGCTTCTTCGTATATTTCTCTTGTTTGATAAAAATTCCTTCTCTGCTTTGTCGAATATTTAAACCAAGAAAATTATTTATCTTTCCCATCATGCTCATTTCAAACTTACTTTTCATTAAATCTTCAAATTATCTAGACACAACAGGGTCAGTTGAGCCAAAAATGATATCATCAACATAGATTTGAACAAGCATTAGTTGATTCCCAAATTTCTTAAGAAATAAAGTGGGGTCAACAGATCCTTGTTTAAATTTAGATTGCTTCAAGAAAGAAGTAAGAGTTGCATACCATGCTTGTGGTGTTTGTTTTAACCTATAAACTACCTTATCTAAGATATATACATGATCAGGATGTTCTTCATTAATAAAACCTAGGGGTTGGTCCACGTAAACTGTTTCTTCAAGCTCTCCATTTAGAAATGCACACCTCACATCCATTTGATAAACATCAAAGTCTTTGTGAGATGCATAATTCAGAAAAATACGAACAACCTTGAGTCTTGCGACATGGGAGAAGGTTTCTTCATAGTCGATTCCTTCTTATTGTGAATAACCTTTGACAACAAGTTTGGCTTTGTTTCGAATGATATTTCCATCTTTGTCAGTTTTGTTTTTGAAAATTCATTTTAACCCGACAATCAAAACATTTTCAAGTTTAGGAATTAATCTCCAAACCTTGTTTCGTTGAAATTCAGACAATTCAGATTGCATTACAACAACCCAATCTGAGTGTTCCATTGTAATATTAATAGTCTTTGGTTCGATTTTAGAAATGAAAACATTAAACATGCAAAATTCTTGATGAGTATTCAATACCTCATTCTTTGCACGAATTTGAGCTCTTGTCAACACTCCATCTTGTGGATTCCTAATTACTTGTTCCTTTGGATGATCT